GCGCGGGCAAGGAGGGTCAGCTGGCAGCGGCGCGGGCAAGGAGGGCTCAGCTGGCAGCGGCGCGGGCAAGGAGGGTCAGCTGGCAGCGGCGCGGGCAAGGAGGGCTCAGCTGGCAGCGGCGCGGGCAAGGAGGGGTTTTATTGAGCTTCAAACTAAATACAAAAATAAAACCCTTAAAACAGAAAACATTCTGGGTTTTTGTTATATGTTGTAAAGGGAGCCTAGAGCTTTTATATGACGCATTGAAAGTGACAATATTTTTATCCCATGAGATTCTGGGCCTCGTGAGAGATTAGAGAGATTTTTTTTTTTATCTTAAATTGGGTACATGTTACAAGCGCAATGAATACATACTTAGAATTAGGCCAAACACTTGTATATTCACAGTTTTTTTCAGGGGCCTAGGTGTTACCGTTACAAAGATACAGGCATCTGAAAATGGCCGACCATGCATTTTTGCAAACAAAAGAAAAATCTCATTGTATATCAAACCAGTGTAACTCCTATACTGCATGAGTAGGCCAGAGAAATTTTGGATTTTTCATATTGGCCCAGGAGCAAACAAAATACCACAAAATGGTTCAATTCTGAGATGGTCAATCGTGATTGACACCAAATATTAGTTGAGTTGAGCCAGAATCACATTATATTTGTGGGGACTTTCCACAGGCTTTCATTTAACTGCAATCTAAGAAAGATGAAAATGGATGAAATTATATTGTTGTCATCGTGGGGACTTCCTCACCTGATTTGGCTGGGTTTTTCAAGCAGCTCAACCAACGGAGCTGGTTCTGTTGGACCGCGGAACTGTGACAGGGAAGCGCGATTTGGTCTGTAATAGGTCACCGCACTTGACGCAAAACCGATTGGCTGTTTGAAATTCACAAAATATACCGATGAGTTGGCTAAATTTATGGAGAGAGCCACTGCACCTCTGATCAGAAGGTTGCTGGTTTGAATCCCATCCTTGGCAGAATAATGTCTGTGGGCCCTTAACCCCCTGAAATACTCCAGGGGTGCCTGACCCTGCATTCAGACCCCAGGTTTCAGTCCTTACACGTGTGTGTTTTAAGGAGAGCATGACGGGATACGTGAAAAGAAGCATTCCAATGTACCTGTGCAAATGCCAAATAAAGCATCTTATCCTGTTGACCACAGAAAAGACGGAAACGTAGTGGTGCCTTTATAAATATTTTGACACATTCCCTGCATTATTAACAGGTGAGCTAAACTTAAAATACTTAAAGCTCGTCCAAACTCTTCAACACACAGCCCATAATGTGCATTAGTTATGGGTCAGTGACCCAGGTGCCGTTGTGTTTCCTGCAGAGGCACTCGTACCAGCGCGCGCAGTACGAGCTGCTGCCCTTCCGCTCCCTGGCTGCAGTCCCCCACCAGCCCAGCTTCCGTTCGCACCGGCGGCTTCTGACTGACCAGAACCGGGCGGCTGGCACTACAATGCAGATCGTCATCGACAAGCGTGAGCAGCAGAGCTTGGGTGAGGGCTCCAGAGGCTGTGACATGTGACCCAGGATGCCATTTCCACTGACGCTGCGCCGGTGCTGGACCTTTTCTCAATCCAGAAGTGGTTCTTGGCATTTCCACTGCAATAAAATTGCCCCTGGGCCAGATAAAATGACTCCAGCACAGCACCACAGAAATGCTGGTTTCATAACTTGGAACCGTAACATCAGCAGTAGTAGGACTGGCTATTGCATCTACATGAACAAAAAAATGATTGTACTAATTGCCACATTAACCCTCAAGAGTTGGCAGTCCCATCAACAGGAACAAAAACAAATCTCACCAAACTGTTTAACAACAGTAACAATAGAAGTATTTGTCAAAGCATGATATGAAGGATTCTTGTGGCTAATGCTAATTAGGTTACATCTCCATCAAATCAGTGTTTAAAAAAAAGACAAAAACGTCACATACTGTCTTCTTGAGTGCATTTGCCATGAATTATTAAGGCTGCTTGATGTTATTTTTGAAAGCAAACCTGCATACATAACTTATAGTGTCTTTAAAATTAATAATACAGATAAAAGCTAAACATTTTCTTACAGTCCGCCAAGATAGTTCATATCTTTTTTTTTATTGTGAAGTTGGAATATACAAACAATTCATCCTCATATAAGAGAAACAATATTCCATAAAGAGCAAGAACAGGATGACAGTTCACCACAGTACTTTACTGTCACTTCTGCTTATTTAACGTTTCCATTCTGTTCTTTTTTAAAATCAGTGGAAACGCGGGCAAGTTCTCAAAATGCACCAAGAGAGAACCAGCCCAGCATTGGCACCGACCCCACGTTGGTGGAAACAAGGCAGTAGTGTCCCGCTAGGCTAGGAGTTCCCATCCTTTTAATGTCTGTTGGCCAGTTTATGGCTGTGGGGAGGGAGGGGGGGGGGGTTGCCAGCGGATCGAGATGGTTTCGTAGCCCGGTGGAATGCTGGCCACAGACCTGGTACTGGCTTTGGGAGCCCCTATGCTCGGCAGTATGAGACCCCCTAATGGGCCCCATCCTTAGGGGGTCTCAGAGTAGCACCGGCACTTTTAGACGGAAAAATTGCTAAGTCAATTTAGGAAGATAATTTTTCAGGGGACCTAAGACAAAAATAATTGGATGGCTGAAGCTGCCCTATATAGGTTCTAAAATCACCTATAGACTGGAAGTTTAAAGTTATAAATCACTGATTTGTGTGTTGTGACCCTTAAAATGGAAATTAGAGAACAAACATGAGCGATTCTGCTGGGAAAGAGTGCCAGAACTCTCCCATTCGCCATTTCTGTAAAGTCACAAGGAATCAATGTATGGCATGAAAAAAGCAGCCTAAGATAGACAGCCTCCTTTTCTCAGCCCTGTTATAAGACCTCACGTCCCTCGTGTGTATTCCGTGAAATACGTTCTCATTTCCTCCGTCTCTTAATTGCCTATCTCCCACCTCTGAATGGCTGTAGTGGGAATGTTTCGATGGATAGGGAGCGACAATGCCACATAGCTTTGTGTAGCATCTCTACGATATTGTGCTATAGATTTTAAAATGTAGGGTTTTATAAATCTGGCGCTGGCATCAATGGGATTACCAGGATGACTGGGTTCTTCCTGTGCTACGTCTCTCCCCGTCCAGTATGTGTCTCCAACGGTAAGACATACTCCCACGGCGAGTCCTGGCACCCTGTCCTCCGCTCCTTCGGCGTTATGGAGTGCGTCCTCTGCACGTGCAACGTCACCCGGCAGGAATGCAAGAAGATCCACTGCCCTGAGCATTACCCCTGCAAATACCCCCAGAAGGTCGAGGGCAGGTGCTGCAAGGTTTGTCAAGGTACAATCTGGCTATTAACATGTGTGGGGTGTGAAAGATGAGATACAGTAGGTCAGCGTGACCTAGCAACATATTCTGCAGTCCAGAGAAAATGTATATACAGGTACAGTGAGTAGGGGGACCAGCAAAGATCCGTAGAAAATGGTTCAGTGACACATGGGCAACAGCAAACCCCAGGAGCAAATGCTACAGCGTGTTGCTGCACCCACGACATGACAATCCACCTCAGGGATGAGAACCTGAGGGTAGCCAGCCAGTGATACCTCAGCACCACACTAGTCCAAATGGAATGTACCAGTGTGAGGTTTTTTTCCCCAGTGGCTGGAGATCCAGTCCTGCCAACAACCCCCAAATTTTCCCTGCAAGTTGGAGGACCTGTGCTTGTTGGGCTGGATGTAGATTAACATCATACCCAGTGACAAAGCAACTCCAGGTTAAGGGCCTTGCTCAAGGGCCCAACAGAGTAGAGTCACTCCTGGCATGTTCCTTAGAGTCTGAATGATCGTTGGTGGGTTGGGGTGGTCAATCAAATCAAACAAAGGCAACAAATGGTGAAAACACTATAAACGCTATAGAGGCTCATCACAAACTGCAGAACATTGGAGAACAACAAAAAAGAGACTTTCTGCACAATATTTATGTAGACAAGATCCTAAAACTTGCTTTCTATGGCTACCTGATGACAACACTCCCTTACCTAGCTAAGCCCCCTTAAAGGGACAGGCGTTTTAATAATAACCAGCATTAACAGGTATGGTAAAATGGTATGAGCGCCCCAGGCTTCTGGGAAAGCACATTACACCACCAAGCTAAGGGAGTATCTTCCCTCGTGGTCTTAGCTGGACGGGCAGGAAACGCAAATTACATTTAAATTACATTTAACGGCATAACGAGTATCAACAGCATAACAGTGGAAATTAAATAGATGTATTTGCACACACATCACTTTGTTCTGCTATTATTCTGAGGGGATTCCTAAAAGAATGTAATCCTTGTTCATAAGTGCTTGGACATTTGAGGCCAATTATTCAGTATTTGTTCTGTTAATGTGATGACTATTATGTTGTAGGGTTAATCAATAAGATAGGTTCTTTTGTTATCAGATCCATTACAGTGTCATGAATATCTTGACAATTTAAGGTTTTCTTTTATTTTTGCAGCTTTTTAGAAAGGTTTAAAAATACTAGAAGGAAAATACAACAACATGTAAATTGGTTTTTATTAAAGCCATTATTAAGAAATTTGCGTATGTAGAATTAAAGAAGACATGATTCATGGGGCAGCTTGTACCTAATTTGGCATGAGAGTGTGTCCCCCCCCCCTCGAAGATGCCCACGGACTTTCCATGCTGAAGGTCTTTCTGAAGCTGGCACTCATGAAGTCTGGAGCAGCACTGAGCGACAGCGTCCAAGCCACTCAGGCTTACGGCCTGGTTTCATTTCACAGACAGCCAGCGAGGCCGTGTGCGGCTAGAGTCCGTGGTCGGAGTCGGGGATACAGACAGCTGCAGCAAACCCAGAAAACGACGGAGAAACCACAGATATCTCATGCATTCTTAATGTTCCTGGATGAATTGTGTGTGGCACCGCGGGGCCTGGTCACGACGAGAATCACAAAGCGAAACAAAACCTAGCCGACAGCTTCGAAAGATGGATAACGAGCTGCTAAATGGCTTTCCAACTGGAAAACGATTCATATGCGCCGTAGAGCCAGATGATTCGTCATATAATAAACATAATCGTAACTGCATTTAATCTAGCATTCTGGAAATTAGCTAAAGCCATTAAATAAACTACAACAATGTGACCTTACTGTTCTTTATAAATGATTCTGAAGGATTCCTCAGCTATAAGTTGCTTAAATGGATATGGCTTTGGTATTGCTTAGGATGATTGTTAGTTGGACATATTGACTGACTTTTTTTAAGGAATGTGACTCTCCAGGCAGTATTATTACACTGGGGCTGAGATGTTGCTTTGATGTGTTTCGTGAGGCTTGTGTTTGCCCGTGTGTGAGATGCTCCTTTGTCTCAGCAGCAGAGGAGCTGGCTCTGAAGAACGAGGACAGCAGGGAGTATTTCTGTGGGGAGGAAACATGGCCAGTGTACGAGTCCCTGGAATCTGCGGGAGAGGACAACATCAGGACCGTCGCCCTGGAGACGGATCCATCAGAAGAAGTCGAGCTGCACATATGGACCATCGCTAAAGGTATTTTCAGGTTCCTCAGTGCCGGCTTAGCCAGAGAGGGTTACTGTGATTGGCAACATGGAATTTTTACACACACACACACATGTAGGGTAAACATATCCTTATGGGGACCGCTCATTCATTTCAATGGGAAAAATACTAACGCTAACTATGACAACCTTAACCCCTACCCTGCCCTAACCATAACCATAAGAGCAGTCACCGATTTTTATAAAATAGAGTTTTCCCTTATGGGGACCAGGAAACCGGTCCCCATAAGGGGAAAAAAAAATGGATATTTATCACGTTATGGGGACATTATGTCCCCATAAGGATAGGTAAACCCGCTCACGCACACACACACATACACACACACACACACACACAGGTTAGTAATTATATCTTTGTGGGGACTCTCAGTTCATTTCTTTGGGGAAAACTCTAATCATACCATGAAGACCTTAACCCTTACCCAGCCATAACCTTAACCATAAGTAACCAAACAAAATACAAATCACAGACTTTTTATAAAACTGAGTTTCCCCTTGTGGGGACCAAAAACATCAAAATTAGGTCAGGTCAGGGTGGGGTAGCATGCCCTGGTACAGCATGTTGCCGCACCCACCACATGACAAAATACCTCCGGATTCCGGTTGGTGACCCGGCATGCGGTCCAGTCCCGCCCTCCAGAAGTGGCCACTTATCTGCCGCAGCCAGGTGTTACGTGGGCGTCCACTTGGCCTGATCCAGTTGCTCAGGTCCTCAGCAGTGAGGATCCTACGAGCCGGATCACCCTCAGGGAATCACGCACACATGGCTGTAGTGCCGTAACTGATGCTTCCTCGCAATGCGGGTAATGTGCCTCATTTGCGACTCCTTGAGCTATCGCTCATTTGACATTCTTCCAGTCCAGAAGAGGTACAACTCTTTGTGATATGGAAGACTGATAATGTGGCATAGAAATAAGTTTTCAGGATGTACCCCAGCCTTGTGCTGCCTGGGATAGTCTCCAGGCCTCCTTTGACTCCTGTGAGTAGCTGTTTGAGGTCGCATGGGAGATTCATTAATTAATTCATTAATTGTTCATGTGGTCATTTTGTTACAGTAAATTGTCTGCACTCATTTTCACTGTATACATACCTTGCAAGTATAATAACAATATTATTCCAGAACGTAAGTGATTGTTTAACAATTTTGTTTGATTTCAAAGGATATCAGTCGTAAATGAATCTCATGCCTGCAGCTAAAACATTGGAAAGACGGGGGGGGGAATATGGCAGTGGGGAGAGAAGGACAGAACAAATTAAAGAAACCAAACAAAGTTTATTCTAAACAGACTTAATTCCCTTGTTACAGAGTCATGAACACATTGTGTCATCTAACTAAATGGTGCTTCACTCAAGTGGTCTGTCTGTGGCTTGACATGCATTACAGTTGGTAAACTGATCCACTCCATCCTGCTTTCTGGAAGAACAAACTAACATTTTAAAAAGCGGCGCCCAGTAATAATCCGGCTGCAGATTCGTGACAGTCACACACAGAAACTGAATCAAGAAATTTGGACTATGAAAGTGCTCATATGACAAGCTTAGTATCACAACATCATGATCATCACGTTAAAGATGTTGCAGATGATGTCTTGTAGTAGTATTCTGTGTAATGCAAGATAATATAATATAATACAGCACATTAGAAACTGATGTTACGCCAGGGATGAAAAAGACATCTTGGAGAGGTAGGGGATTTGGAGCGTGGCGTCTGCCTGTCTGTTTGGAAACGAGAGTGAGTCGCTTAGGGGAAAAGAAACTTTTTTTTTTTGTTAGTGAGTGATTCTTTTGTTTTAATAAATGCTTAATGACTTTGAAGGTGGTTTCACTCTCAGCATGAACACGGTCAGCAATGATAGATACTGTGTTGCCCTGAAAATTCTTCTGTCGCAACTAGATAACAAATGACAGCTACAAAAATATGCTGACACTGTGAATACTAAAATGACCCAGTTAGCTAAATCTAGCTGCATAACAACCGAACATAACATATTACTGATGAATTGCTGTCGGGCAACCATTTTTACATTAGCTAGCTGTGGAAAAACAACAAAATAAAAATGACTTTCAGTCACGTTAAGGAGTGCTGTTTTATTTCACGTCAGTGTCAATATCATGCATTTAATATTAAAAGATTTGCGGTTCACATAACTGAATATAGCTTCTCCATACTGAGGCTTGTCTAGAATTGCCGTCTTCCAACAAAAATGAAAAACGAGTGCAAGAAGGGATGCACTTCAGGCAAGGGCCTTAAGAGCTGATTGCAGGACATGGTCTGATTAAGTCAGGACTGTTACCCGGTCAATGCTCTCATTTGTAAAATAGGACTGAGATGATCCTGCATGCTATTTTTACATATACTGTAAATACATATCGATGTCTCTACCCAGTCAGTTCTGCTCTCAATTTGTCTGATTATTGAATAGAATTAGCCAAAATATGAGGTGTCCTGTATTACAGAACCTGATTCCTTGATGATTTCTCGAGTTCAGAGCTACATGAAGCATGCGGTCATCAATCTGCAGCTGTGCAGATATATTTTCATGCTGATTTTATGGATAATGTGCCAGCCTTTGCAGCAGAGAGGCCACTGAAACGGTGTAGGTGGCACATATCAATACATCCTGTGGCTTCATAAAAATCCGTCATGGGACGTGGGGTGACGGCGATCGCTTTCATGCTGGGCCGTGACAGATTGATGTCAGGGGTACCGTGTTTCCCTCCTCTGCGTCATTATTCATCATTATTTTCATATACACTGCCCACTGGGTCTTTGATCATCGGCACACAGACACCATGATTAAATGAAAACTTTCAAAACAATGTCATTATTTTCTAGTGGGGATTTTTCCTGTTGATTGAGAGCAGGGTGTTTATACTCCAGTTTTTATTGTATTTCATTTCCATTCATTTGTGGTAAGTTTCTGTGTTTACTATCTTTGGGTAAGATATAGAGATATTTCTCCCACACTGTTAGAGTCAAAAGGGCTGTTTCTTTAATACAATTTATAATAGTTTCAAAATATCTGTGTACGCTTTTTACTCTATAAGTCAGAATTTATAGACGTGAATATTTAATGGGGATCAATAAAGTTTATGTTAATCTCAAATGAAGCCAGTATGATCTGGGTTCAACACCCCTGTTTGTAGACAGCTGGAAATATGGTGGCCAGACATACTAACTTTGCTTGGCATCCAGGCCTCCTCAGAAACTTCCAGATCAAGAAGGTCCCCGTGATGGACTTCAACAAGCACAGCGATTTTAAACCATTGACAAGGACGACACAGAGTATGTATTCATTTAAAGTTAGTTTAAGCGATATGTCCTCTAAGCAATATTATCTGAAATATAACTGACATCCACAAAACTCACATACAGCAGTTTTAATAGCATACTTTAGATTTATAGACAATCACATCTGGTATAGAATCTCAGTAAAATTGTGAATTTTATACCAGGCCGGTGGAAGATCTTCCGCGAAGGGGAGCTGCAGATCAGCCAGATGTGCGCGAAGCGGTCCTGCCGCACGGAACTGGAAGACCTGGTACGGGTTCTGTTCCTGGACAAGCCAGAGAGGGACCACTGCTGAAGATCGGTATGAAGCTTTTGGAGGGGAAAGTGGCTGCTTTTCAGACAACAGAGAGAATGTGTATGAGCAGTGGTGTATGACCAGTGGTGGAAATTATTTTGCAGTTGTGTAATGCAAAGAGTTTCTTATGCTCCTGTCAGTGTCTTACAGTAATGGTCGCTTGAGTCAGTGTTTCCGAATCTGGTCCTCGGGGACCCGCAGACTGTACACGTTTTTGCTTACCCAGAGCTGGGAGGGAGCAAAAATGTGGACTGTCTGGCAGGGAACTGGGAGAGAGCAAAAATGTGGACTGTCTGGCAGGGAGCTGGGAGGGAGCAAAAATGTGGACTGTCTGGCAGGGAGCTGGGAGGGAGCAAAAACATGGACTGTCTGGGAGGGAGCTGGGAGGGAGCAAAAACATGGACTGTCTGGGAGGGAGCAAAAATGTGGACTGTCTGGGAGGGAGCAAAAATGTGGACTGTCTGGGAGGGAGCAAAAATGTGGACTGTCTGGCAGGGAACTGGGAGGGAGCAAAAACCATGGACCATCTGTGAGTCCCCAAGGACCAGGTTGGGAAACACTGACTTAAGTGATATACGCCAATCACAGTATCTGAGCATTATTCAGTTTAGGTTGCTTTTCTTTTTCAACACAGTCAAATATGCCTTTTATTTATTAGGGATTGTCAGTCATACTAAATAAACACTTTTTTATGAATGGCAAAGCAATATAGTAATATATTTTATTAATATTACTAAAACTATTTTTTTAGATTTCACTCTGTTATGTATTTCAGATATTCGAAGTCCAATTCAAAGCCTGAAAAGAATCAAATAAAACTGACTTTTTAAGTATTATGATAATATAAAATGGTAAAGTACTATACAATGTGTATAAAATTGTTCTCTTCAGTTAATAGGCTGTTGCCTGACATGTTCTATTTTTCTTTATGTTAGACGTATGTTAGTATTTTTGTTTGTTTCTCACCCTAAAAATGGCATGTCCTTTATTTTCCATGATTATCCAGCACATACAGTGTGAACTGTTATCCAACAATAAATGCTACAGGCATGAAAGCATTATACTTCTGCAGATCTCAGCGTCATTTCATATGCTTGGCCAGAGTACAGTGATGATTATAAACTGTCTGGTAAAAACATAAAGATATTTAAGATACAAAACATGTTGCCCTGGAATGACTTCTACACAACAGCTCATAAGGAACAATTCTTACTGTAAATCACTTTCAAATGGTAATATAAGTAAATGTATGTGACTTAATGTTTATTTTAAAAACAAATACATAGCGTACAGTAATCCATATATTTCTGAATGTGATGATTAACAAATAAATAAAATGAAAATTATCCGTGTTACATATAAATTCTAAATACTATTAGGCTTGTACACATTTAGTGGAATATCTATTCAAGAGCTGTTAGCGAGGATTGAAAATGTTCTGTTATTCATTTCCACCCTACAGCGGACTGCCATCCCGTCCAGGGTGCTCTCTGTTCCCTATGCTCCCTGTCTTGTTCCCTGTGCTCCCTGTCTTGTACCCTGTGCTCCCTGTCTTGTTCCCTATGCTCCTTGTCTTGTTCCCTATGCTCCCTGTCTTGTTCCCTGTGCTCCCTGTCTTGTTCCCTGTGCACCCTGTCTTGTTCCCTATGCTCCCTGTCTTGTTCCCTATGCTCCCTGTATTGTTCCCTATGCTCCCTGTCTTGTTCCCTATGCTCCCTGTATTGTTCCCTATGCTCCCTGTCTTGTTCCCTATGCTCCTTGTATTGTTCCCTATGCTACTTGTATTGTACCCTGTGCTACCTGTATTGTACCCTATGGTCTCTGCCATAAGCTGGGTAAGCAGTTGAAAAACGGATGGATGGTTGGTTGGATGGTTGTGTACCTGAGTAAACAGGGGTCTTCCTGGACTTCCTGTATGATAAACAAGTTCCTCCTGTGATGGCATTGATCAGGCCCTCTCAGCTGTCACACAGTCCTCATATTACTGAGGAGGACGCTACAGCTCAGTAGTCGAAAGCCTTCAGTGATGACATGCTGCATTATGAATGCAGACAGACTAAAATGATGTGTGTCCAGAAATGGTTGCACTTATTAGGCAGATGTGCTAGCTGTGTCAAAACAGACTGGGAGGCTGAAATGATATCACTGTATTCCAGATGCCACGTGTGGTCATAATATAGTCAGTCAGGTGTAAGGACTTAAACTGTATTACTATAATATTAACTGCAAGCAAGATTAAATTTTGAAATGCAAATCCACATCTCCGGGGGCTGTGTTTTGAGTCCCGCTGGATCTGTGTTTGTGGGGTTTGTGTTGTCTTATGTTTCCACAAGGGACTCCGGTTTCCTCCTGCAGTCCAAAGACATCCAGTTAGGTAAATTGTCATATTTAAATTGCCCATTGTGTGTGTGTTGGTGTGTGTGCATTATGATGGCCCCATCCCATCCAGGGTGTAACCAGGGCCAGATTTGTCACCACAGGGCACTACGCATACAGGTTTTATTTTGTTTTGGGCCAACTCCTGTCAACATACTGCTATTTTCCCTGCCTGTGTGTGTGTGTATATATATATATATACACTGAACAAAAATATAAACGCAACACTTTCGGTTTTGCTCTCATTTTGCATGAGCTGAACTCAAAGATCTGAAACATTTTCTACACACACAAAAGACCCATTACTCTCAAATATTGTTCACAAGTCTGTCTAAATCTGTGTTAGTGAGCACTTCTCTTTTGCTGGGATAATCCAACCCACCTCACTGGTGTGGCTTATCAAGGTGCTGATTATTGCACAGGTGTGCCTTAGACTGCCCACAATAAAAGGCCACCCTGAAATGTGCAGTTTGATCAAACAGCACAATGCCACAGATGTTGCAACGTTTGAGGGAGCGTGCAATTGGCATGCTGACTGCAGGAATGTCTACCAGAGCTGTTGCCCGTGAAATGAATGTTCATTTCTCTACCATAAGCCGTCTCCAAAGGCGTTTCAGAGAATTTGGCAGTACATCCAACCGGCCTCACAACCGCAGACCATGTGTAACCACACCAGCCCAGGACCTCCACATCCAGCATGTTCACCTCCTTGATCGTCTGAGACCAGCCACCCGGACAGCTGCAGCAACAATCGGTTTGCATAACCAAAGAATTTCTGCACAAACTGTCAGAAACCGTCTCAGGGAAGCTCATCTGCATGCTCGTCGTCCTCATCGGGGTCGGGACCTGACTGCAGTTCGTCGTCGTGACCGACTTTAGTGGGCAAATGCTCACATTCGATGGCGTCTTGGATGTACTGCCAAATTCTCTGAAAGGCCTTTGGAGACGGCTTATGGTAGAGAAATGACATTCCTGCAGTCAGCATGCCAATTGCACGCATAATATTTGACAGTAATGGGTCTTTTTGTATATAGAAAATGTTTCAGATCTTTCAGCTCATGCTAAATGGGAGCAAAACCGAAAGTGTTGCGTTTATATTTTTGTTCAGTGAGTGTATATATATATAATGTATTTGATTTTTTACATTATTTTTCATTTTATGCAATTATTATTTATCAATTAGAATCAGTGCTCATTGGCGATACACCACAGCACACAGTGTACAACAGTAAAATGTGTCCTCTGCATTTAACCCGTATATGACATAGCAGGGGGCGGCTAATTCAGCACCCGGGGAGCAGTGCTTGGGGGCGGTACCTTGCTCACAGTACCTCAGTGGTACCTTGCTGGTTGGGGATTCAAACCAGCAATCTTTCAATTACAAGTGTGCTTCCCTAACCATTAAGCCAATGCCCCCATGAATATTATATATATCCTTATATATACACATTTATTTGTTTGTTTGTTTATCAGTCCATCAATTACCCAATCATGGCTTTGTCTGAACCCCTTTGTACGAGTTGGGCCCCACTGGGTTTTGGGTGTACTGCCATCAGTGCCCTGTGCTGTGTGGGCAAGGTCCCAGTCTCCCGCTGTCAGTGCCCTGTGCTGTGTGGGCTAGGTCCCAGTCTCCCATCATCAGTGCCCTGTGCTGTGTGAGTTAGGTCCCAGTCTCCTACAGCCTTACGCAGGATAAGCAGTTGGAAGATTCTTCTTTCTGTGTACTTTGCTAGAAGACAAAATGGATAATCACTTGCAGTGTTCATGCTTATATACACCAGATATCTGTTTAACGAGAAAATGAAAGGAAAATTACTTAATCGCCCCAAAAGTTAAATCCAAAAAGCAACACAGCCCACTAAATCCCACTTCCCAGTGCTGACGTTCACACATCTCCAGCTGGTTCTTTAAACGTTAACTTGTGGTTCGCCGCCACGGGGCGGCTGAGATCAGACACTGTTACGCTGGTGATGTCAGCTGGCACGACTGCAAGCGGCTCCTCCACGCTGCGGGGTTAGCGGGGGGGGGGAGGGCAGACACATGGACCCTGATCCCTTATTCGGAGCCTCTCACCCGAGATCTGCATTGGAACACACCAGCGGTAATGGATTGTAAAGGGCACGCTCACCAGAGACGAGGAAAGGATAGGTGGGTATACAGTAATTAAAGAGACTCATATCGCACTTTAACACCCTGAGTGGAAATATGTAATCTTACTGCCATCATTTACTGATGCAAGAAAACAGTCATGTTTAATTTGGTCTTAATTGCACTCACACAGTCATAAGGTAACCAGGCCTTCTGTAGAGAAATATCAGACCCAAGCATGAAACAATGAGCTGCACATGCTCTCCTGTAACTCAAACGCCTGACACTGGAGTTTTCATTCTTCGCTTATGTACGCACTCCAGATTAAAGGCTTGTTTTCTAAGTGACCCCCCCCCCCCCAATACCTGCTCTTCTAGTATAGAAAAGTGATTGAAAATTTCACTGAGGATGACAAAGGAAATAGCTAGTGTGGAGTGTCACACATAGCCTTATTTTGAATGCATTGATTATTTATGCAATCCTGCATTATGGTTTCACAGTCTATAGGGTAAAGTTTTTATAATTCTATTTACTTTTAATGTTGCAATGTCATTTATATATGCCTAAGTAAGACATAGTATAAAGACATACAAACAAGTATGGAAACATATACGGTACCACGCCAAGCTGCCTACAAGTGAGAGTGATAGTGTCACGTCACATGACCTGGCCACCACATCACATGACCTGGCCACCACATCACATGACCTGGCCACCTGACCTAAACACAGTAGAAATGATTTAGGAGGAGTTTGACCAGAGAGTGAGGAAAAGCAGTCAACGAGTGCTCAGCATTTGTGGGACCTCCTTCAGGATGACTGGAAAAGCATCCCAGGAGGCCACCTCATGAAACTGGCGTAGAGGAAGAAGTACTGTCAGCCAGTCCCTGGAGCAATTGGGGTTAAGGGCCTTGCTCAAGGACCCAATGATGTGATCACTCTGTCAACCCAGGAACTTAAACCAGCAACCTTCTAAGTGCTAACCCACAGAGCTGCCCCTCCAACATACCATAATATTTTTTGTTTAATGCTATTTTGGTTCATAGATAATTCCATATATAATATTTTATAATTTTGATGTCTTCATTATTATTGTAAATTGTAGAGAATAGTATAAATAAACCTTTCTATGGGTAGAAGTAACCAAACCTTTCAGTGGTAATGCACATTCTGAGCTGTAGTTCACACACAACTTGCAGAGACTTTTCATGTCCAGGTACTGGCCATTGCTGGGCTGCAGTGGTTGATCTATGATCTCTTCCACCCACACTGCTCTTATATGCTGAACTACTGCCAGTGACCTGTATGACAGTGTATTACAGTGGCCGTAGATAGGTATTTGAAACTGTTGTGGTGTGCTCAACAAGCTAATACACAGATAGGCCAGAACACAGGTCAGTTCTCAAATGGGCCCAGTAACCTATTCATAATGCACACAGCCAGCTTCCTGGCCAGAGAGGCGTAATGGCGGACTTGGACTGCCACCTTTTTTTTGTTCGGACGCTTGGAGAGAAAGCCTCGCTGATGCTTATTCAGCTACGGCTGCTGGCCAGCCTTGGTACTGAGACTGGGGCTGCAGTTTAATTGCCAGCCATGTACA